AATTAAATTAGGTCTTAGAGATCCATTTTCTTTTCTTCCCGTAGGCAGAGCTGTGCCCTCCGAGCTGCGTTTTGCCCTCTATGTGTCAACAGCAATCCCTGTAAGGCGGCTCCTGGGAGTCTCTCAATCCTGTTAGTCCAGAGCCGTTTTACTTCTCCGGCCCCTCCTCCCCTTCCTCCTGCCAGCCAGCCAGGTCCTGCTCACTGGAGGCGGTTCCCCAAGGATCTGGTTACACTTTCAGCCCCACTGCGTGCCCTATTTCCTGAACGACTGAGCACTCTCTCTATCATTCATCTAAGCCCCAGTGCTGTGGAGCTGTGGTCTGGGAGTCAATAGTTTAATTTTTCCGGACCCCTTTGGTGGGCACGCCCTCGGAAGCTGGCGGCTAAGACCTTGAGTATCGCCACTGGTGGTAATGTGAGTTGGGGGTCGAGAAACCCCTCTGCTTCCCTCAGCCCCTACAATCACGACCACTCCGCTGGCAGTAGGAGGAGTTGGGGGTCAGGAGTGCCCTCTATTTCCCTCCACCCCTACCGTCATGCCCTCTCCGTTGGCGGTAGGGGGAGTTGGGGGTCAGGAGTCCCTTGGCCCTTACGGTCATGCCCACGGAGAGATTTTTCAAGTTTCCCGGTTGTTTGTATCTGGTGTGGTTGGGAGTCACACACCTGCTAAAGTAGATTCCGCTGGGAAGGAATCTCGTTGGCCGAACTCTGGTGACTTCCCCTCTCTGCTATGGCGGGCTCCTGGCTCCTTGCCAGTGTCCGAAGGGAGGGGTGAGACTGGCTTGTCTCTGGTCTGACTCAATCTCTGGTTTTAGTTCCCAGTTCGCTATTTCATAAAGGCTTGGTTAGAGTCCCTTCACGTCGCCTCCTGAGCCAGGCGGGCGGGGCTGTTCTCCGAGCAGGGCGGGCGGGGTGGGTGAGGCCGTTCGCCGGTTGGGCGGGGCCGTTCCCAGAGCCGGGCAGGTGGGGGACTGTTCCTAGCGCTGGGCCGCCAGGGGCGGTTCACAGAGCCGGGCCGGCGGGGGCTGTTTGCAGAGCCGGGCAGGCAGCGGCCGTTCGAACGTTCGCCACAACGGGCGGGCGGCGGCCGTTCGGCGGGACTGGACCTCTGCGCCGCGTGGCGGAGATTCACTTGTTTGGGACAAACTCAGGATTAAATTACTTATATTGTGCCCAAGAAAACAGAACAAATGTAAACTCAGAAAATTAAGAGAATAAAAGAACAAAATCCCTAAATTTATAACAGCAGCACTTCTTAATATAACTTACTTCATGCAGTCAGCAAAAAGACTTTCCACTCCAACTGAATGAGCAATAATTAGGCATTCCAGTATAGAAGTCAATGTTCTGGAAATGGGCTAAAATTGACAGAAAACATTGCTTTTATTCTTTTTTTGGTTTGCAGAGGGTAAAAGTATTTGGTTCATAAAGAAAATGTGACATATATCTAAACTGTAAATACATACAATTCAAAATCTGATGAATTAAAAAACCAATTTTCTATACTTAGTTCTCTATCTGAAATTAACTTCTGTTGGAACTCTGCCTATAGGCATGCTGTGTAGTTAATGTCTCAAATTTTCTTAAAAATACCTTTCCACACAAACACCTATATAAAGATGTTTAAAGCAGCTTTACTCATTATTCCTGAAACTTGGAAGCAACCAAGATATCCTTTAGTAGGTGAATGGATAAATGAATTATAGTACATGCAAGCAATGGAATACTCACACTGAATGAGCTATCAAGTCAAGAAAAGACATGGAGGAAATTTGAATAAATATCACTAAATGAATATTAATAAGAAGTCAATCTGAGCTGGGTGCACTGGTACATTCCTGTAATCCCAGCAGCCGGGAAGGCTGAGACTGGAGGATCCCAAGTTCAAAGCCAGCCTCAACAATAGCCAGGTGCTAAGCAACTCAGTGAGACCCTGTCTTTAAATAAAATACAAAATAGGGCTAGGAATATGGCTCAGGGGTTGAGTGTCCCGAGTTCAATTTCCAACACACAAAAAAAGAAGTCAATCTGAAAAGGTTATCTACTATATGATTTCAACTATGTAACACTAAGAAAAAAATCAAATCTATGGGGACAGTAAAAAGATCACATATATGTGATGTCAGATACATGTGATTATACATTTGCCCAAACTCATGGAATATATAATACCAAGAGTGAATTCTAAAACCTATAGACTTGGGTGATAATGATGTGTCAATGTAAGTTCATCAATTGTATCAAATGTATCACTCTGGTAAAAAAAATTCTGATAATATGTGGAGGTATGGGTATATAAGCTATCTCTATACCTTTCTCTCAATTTTAACAAAATGTAACAAAGCCCGTGTGCTGATCTTGGATAAAAAGAGACTTTAATTAAACTATAATATAACATTTTTTAAAGCACATATATAAAAGTAATTAATTAAACAAAAGGTAGATACAGATAGGGAAAACAACCTATTGCTCTTGGTATTAAGCATATGTGCTATGTATTGCCCATGCCATGTATTTTCAGGTTTTGAACTGTTCCTAGACACATCTATTTCCCCAATAGGTTGAATTTCTCTTTATACACATTCATTCGTTGTGAGCTAGGGTTCAAGACCAGCAAAAAGTCAGTTTATATATCTAGTCTCTAAATATATACTTCCAAAGATCCCCTGTTCTCAAAGCAGAGAAAAACCTTCTTTAGAAATGTCTCTGGCATAATTCTTCCAATAAGGTCAGTAATTTCCAACTTTTAATTTATTCTTAATTAAACTAATTTAATCTATCAAATTAATCTATTAATTTAATCTTCTAGTACTATTAATCTTCTAGTACAAAGTATTATAGGGCGGGCACAGTGACACATGCCTGTATTGGGAGTCTAAGGCAGGAGGATTGCAAGTACAAAGCTACTCAGCAATTTAGCAGGGCTCTAAGTAGCTTAGCAAGACCCTGTCTCAAAATTAAAAAAGGGCTGAGGTGGATGTGGCTCAGTGGTAGTGCACTTGCCTGGCAGGTATGAGGCACCAGGTTTAGTTCTCAGCAACACACACAAAAAAATAAAATAAAGGTCTATCAACAACTTAAAAAAAAATAGGGCTGGGGAGGGTTCAATCCTTGGTACCAAAAGAAAAAATAAAGAAAAAAGTGTTCTAGTAGTACTTAAGAACTAAATGTAAATATTTTGCATATTAACAATTTAAATTAAATTTAAATTTAATTAAAATCCCTATAAGATAATTGGAGTTCCTGAAATCAGAAATGACTATCACTATTACAGGTTATATGATGATAATTCTACCAAGTTAAATAATTTGGTTTTCTTTTTTTTATATATATATTTTTTAGTTGTAGATGGACACAATACCTTTATTTTACTGACTTATTTTTATGTGGTGCTAAGGATCAAATCCAGTACTTCACACATGCAAGGAAAGCACTCTACCACAGAGCTACAACCCTAGATATAATTTGATTTTCTGAACAATTCATAGAAGAGTATCAAATTAGTATAGCAGACTAAGAATACTCAGAAGTCTGAAGAATTGTAAAAGTATGTACAAGTTAAAAAGTTCAACAATCTAATTTTTCTTAGAAAAAACCAGCCTTATATAACATGAAGTCTAGTGATATTATAACAATAGTAATTTCTGTAATTGTCAAAATGTATATTTAAAAAAACTTGTTGCTTAAAGCAGAAGACTGGCAAACTTTAGCCTGTGGGGAAAATGTAGTCCATCACTGGTTTTGTGAATAAAATTTTACCAGAATACTGGCATGTTACTTCATTTATATGTTGATCTCTAACATCAGAGCACAGTTCTGTATAGACAAGAGGATTCACAAAGCCTGAAATTCGGGGGGGGGGGGGGGGGGGGGGGGGTACTGGTGATTCAATCCAGGGGTGCTTTACAGCTGAGCTACACATCCCCAGCCCTTTTCTCTTTTTTTAAATTTTTGAGACAGGGTCTCACTAAGTGCCTTTACAGAGAAAAACCTGCTGACTCTTGGCTTAAAGGGATAACTTTGGCTCTTTGAGAATTTATTTATAGGGAATTGCTGATTCCCAAGGTTTTTTTTGTAACGGCATGATTGACCTTTAGTCATTTTCAAAAACCTGCTTGCAGAATGTGGGAAGATAAATATTGAAATTATTTTCTAAAATATATTTTTAATTGGTGACTATATGTATGCATATAAAGTAAATATATATCCACTATAATGCCATAAATGAAGCCCCCCTCAAATTTAAATGTATGAAAGGCAGGATTATGAAGTTAATGAAATGACTAAAACTATCTCCAGTCAAGAATTGTGAGGCCAGTTGTCTATCATATTATACCTATATTTGTTTTACTGTGGGTATCTTATGATAAATTTATGATACTTAAGTCACTGCCAAGAGACTGCATAAGTGAGAAATAAAACTTAAAAATTATATATATTCAAAAGTCAGGCTGGGGTTGTAGCTCAGTTGGTAGAACATTTGTCTAGCATGTGTGAGGCACTGGGTTCGATCCGCAGCACCATATAAAAAAAATAAATAATTAAAATAAAGTTATGGGCTGGGGTTGTGGCTCAGTGGTAAAGTGCTTGCCTGGAATGTGTGAGGCACTGGGTTTGATTCTCAGCACCATATATAAATAAAAAAATCAAGGTCCATCAATAACTAAATGAATAAATAAATAAAATTTAAATAATAAAATAAAGTTATTATGTCTGTCTACAACTAAAATTTTTTGAAAAAAATTATATATTCAAAAGTATATTATAAAAATACATATTTTTAAAATATGAAAAACAAGAAAGTTTAAAGATCAGGTCAATAAAAACAGAAACTGTTCTCTCAAATATTTATTACCACAGTAATACAAACTATATTAAAATAAATAAAATACAATAAAAAAATTTTTCAACAAAATACTACACTGTTAATTTAAAAAGAAACACTTTCTGTTGTTTTAATAGAAACAAATATGCCCTTGGGTTTAAAATTAAGTGGGGATCCTTTTGTTGTTCATAAGTGTGGTGACTGAGTTTTTATATCATTGAGATGTGCCTCCCTCAAACAGTGTTACAATGTCAGTATATTACCTGTCTGATATAAAACAATAAAATAAAGTGGATCACTAAAAGTAAAATACAAGAAGCTGCATATAACTCATATGCTCCTGAATGTATAAAAATAGAGGCAATGGTCTAAAATTATTCATAAGATTATTTTTATGTTAGATTAACTAGTTTACTGAGAAGTATCAGCTCAGAGGAGATACTAACATAAAACATTTTTTTTTCAAACTAATGCTTTTTACCTAGCTATGTCAAATCCCCAATTTTTCACATCTTTTAAAAAATTTTTTTAATTATTTCTTACATACATCACATTAGAGGAGTGCATTACATTCATAATTCTTTTGCATTGCAATTCTTAATACAATAAGCAGATTCCATAGCTTTCTGGTTTTATTGTTAAAATTCAGTAGAGTACTGTTTTAATATCTATCTCATATCTGATATCAATCTTTTTCTCCATAACATTGACTAGATTCATGATTGGTGAGATCGGCAATAGGGAGTAGAACATAATCTGGTCTCCTGCTCCTCCATTTTTTAGGTCTAACTCTAAGGAAGATGCCCATTGGTAGCTGTGGTCATTTTACATAACTAAGCAGAGACTAAGATGGTAATAGGGTGTTGTCCTTGACTTTGCTCTCAGATGCTGGTGGCCTTTGCTGAGGTGGTGGCTCTTTTAGGGGAAAAAAAAAATTCACCACTGCCTCTCGGTGTTTAAGGACTTTTCTAAGGGTTCATGATGTATGATGTCTGCCTAAGTGGGACACTGTTTTCTGGTCTTGATTCAGTATCCTCTTTCGTGGAACTACTAAGGTCCTCCTCCTTCCCTGTAGATCATGTGTAAATGGGGTGGAGAGTGGACTCTTCAACTTTTTTTTCCTACATAACAATAACTATAGTCCCTTAACACCAGGATAGTTCTAGCTTGTCCAGCAAGCCTCCTACCTTTAGAAATATCCACATTAAGGTTATTCTCATAGGCTTTTCAGGCCTATTCCAAGTTCCCCCAAGAAATCGCTTATCACTTTCTTTTTTTCCATGATGGGCTAGTTTTATGGATATAGTAAATGTCCAACTGGGACATGAAGGCATCCTATCCTTGTTGCAATTACTTCCTATCTTTATTTTTTATATGTGATTCACTTGGATCTCCCTCCTAACTTTCATTTTAGGAAAATAGGGGAGGCATGTGCAGGAGAAAGAAAAGGCTTTCACTACAATTATTCTCTCTCCACAAAGCTGAGGAGACCACATATTGCCTTCCTTTTTTCAATCCCCTTAATTATGAAGGCTGGAGTGAATCATTGGTCAAAACTACATGAGGGGTTTAACTGTTTCTCAGTAAACTCTGCAGAGGGGTAATGATGGCATTCGTGAACCCAGCTGTTCATGGCTCTCTTTTAGCATATGGGCTGCTTCCTCAGTTACAATTTATGGGGAGGTAGGAAAAGTCCTATCCAACACAAAAATCTAAAGTTAAATGTCCTTTTTTTTAAGATTTATTTTTTAGCTATAGTTGGACAAAATACCTTTATTTATTTATTTTTATGTGGTGCTGAGAATCGAACCCAGGGCCTCACATGCACTAGGCGAGTACTCTACCGCTGAGCTACAACCCATTGCAATTTAAGTGTACTTAAAATTACCTAATTAAAAGTCATATAATGCATACTATTTCCTCACATACCCAGTAAAAGGGAAGTACAATGTAAACAGTTCTTTCAAAATTTGTTTTTGCTGGGTTTTTTTTGTTGATGATTATGTGATCATTGTAGGAAATTTACACAATTTAGAAAGGCATAAATGAGAAAATAGAAATAACCTACAGTTACAAAGTACATTGAAAGAATGAAGTGGACCAGGGATGTAGCTCAGTGGTAAGGCTTTTGTCTTGCAAGAGAAGGCCCTGGATTCAATCCCCGGCATGGCAAAAAAGCAGAACAAAAAACAACCCAATGAAGAATCTAAGAATAATGTCCCAAGGGGGGTTGGAATGCATAAAATGGAATATTTCTTTAGACAGTAAATTGACCTTTGCGTAAACTAAAATAAAAAACAATCAGTATTCATATTCCATATGGAGAGATTGTAGAAGAGAACTAAGTACATTCTCCAAAGAAGTGGTACAAAGAAAGTACATACTTTTAGGGGAAAGAATCAATGAACCATGGTGTAACTCTTTGATAAAAGGAGAAGATAACTATATTTCTTGACTTCCTTTCTCCTAGTGTCAAATCCTAAATCCTTTCAATAACCCTCCCAAATCAATTTTATTTCACTTAAAATATTTTAACTAGTTTCTGATTTTTGAAAGGACACCATATGTGCTGTCATTTGGAACCCCCATTAGTTATAAACTAATTTTTTTATATTTGAAGTACTATTACAACAAAAATCTTAAATCTAGTAGGTAATAATGAGTGACTTAAAGTACTGGGTAAAGATTTCTGAGACTCAATAATTACCTTCTGAAAGAAATTACAGTAATCTCTTCTTAAAATATAGATTGCTACTTCTTTTAGTCCTTCTAGTCCATACATATCAGCCATATTGAGTATCTGACTAAAATGAAAATAGATGCACTTGTTAATTCTCCAATATAAAAATCAAACCATAATACACAGTGATTTCTTGATAACATATAGTCTTTAAAAATAATTTGAATTACTTTAGTTCTAACTTTTTGCTTCACATAATAAATATTCTTTATGGACTATAACGACAACACAGGCCAAAATATGGAAAGCACTGACACTGATTCACTTAATGTGAATAACAAGTAAATCTGGAGATATTTCAAATTCCCCTCATTTTCTCGGTAACATACAGAACAAGATTTTTAGGAAACTGCTTTGAAAGTTGTAAATGTTACAAAAATCTGCGCAGCAGATTTGTACAATAATAGTTTGGGGAGTGAATTCACTGATGGTTATCATGGTTATTGATGGTTATTGAAAATGCCTACAAATGACTCCAAGATTAGAACGCATGTAATGACTGCAGAGTTGCCTTTACTTCTTTCATCTGGTAAGTACTTCTGAGCACATACACAAGCTTCCAGTATTTAGACAGCCTATAAGTTTTGAGAGCATAAACTTTCCTATAGGTTGCCTGGGGATAAAATATTGGTACTTAATTTCTGTGACCTATGATATGTTCTCCCCCAAAATGTATTTATTCGATTCAAAATTAGAGGAACCCCAACGATTCTTTAAAATTAAAAAAGCATCTTTCACTCGTTTGCTACTAAAATACCAACAGAAAATTGGAAGAGTAAGGTAGAATTTCACTCTCCAGTAGGATTTCAGAAGTTTAGATAGTATTTCAGTATACAACATGTAAGAATCACATACTTGTTGGTCTTTGCATGCCTTTATATTCTGAAATAAATTTTAATGTTTTTCTTTTGCTGTTTAAAAAAGACAACCTAAATTTTAAAAATATAGAAGTATAATAACATTCAAAGTTTGACAAAAAATTGATTTTATTTTTATAAAAAACTCTCATTTATTTTCCAAAGTAAGATTTTTCTAAAATAATTTAAGTCTAAAAGACCTTTCTTAATCTTATTACTGTAAGTTATTCAGCTTTTCTTATTGTTTTTAGATATTTTCCACACACACTCAAAATATAGCTAGCAAAATTGATAATAAAAGTGAAGCTTCAGAATCAAGCAAGGTGACACACACCTATAAATTCCACACTTGGGAGGTTAATTTAGGAAGATCACTTGAGCTCAGGAGATCTGTCTGGGAAAATAGCAAGACCCCATCTCAAAAGAAGAAAAAAAGTGAAGCTTCTGCTTCACTGATACTGCAACATAGCTCAATAAAGCAGAACCTGTAAAATATTAACACTTTTATATTTAAGCTTATTAAAAAGTAATACATACCCAACATTAGCTTTGTCTGGAAAGTCCAAAATTCCTCCATATATAAAATGCATCATAACATTCATTTCTACATGGTTTATACTGCAAAATAAAGGAAAACTCAAATCTAGAAATAATTAAGGTTTATCTAAATCAATAAATCATTCTATTTCCCATAAACTTTTAGCCAAAATAAAGTTCTAATCTCCATTCTTAAATAAACACTATGTAGGCATATCATTAATTTAAAATGAACTGCAACTATGGACTTATACATAGGTTATAAAATGTACACTATCAAATAATTGATTATTTATCAAGAATCTTTTTCCATATTTTTTAGAGTCTGGGATGTTAAGAAGTCATTGTCCAACTTCTTCTTATTAAGAAATTATCTCCTCTGCTAGGATGCAGTACAGTGGTAGAGCACCTGCCCAGCATGTGTGAGGCCCTGGGTTTGATCCCCAGAACCATAAAATAAAGAAAGAAATCCTCTCTTCAGCATCTTTGATAAATTAGCCTCTGGTTTTGCTTAAGGATGGACAACTCTATTCACTAGGAAGATTATTGTTATACTGTACAGATTGTACTTGTAATACCTACACCTAGAGCTAGTGGCTCTAGTTTGACCAATGTCCTCATGACATAGCTGAAAAAGTAGACATGACTTAAGAAATAGTTGAGTGATAACCTTTATTATTTACTATAGCAAACTCTGAATTCTTAACCTCTGCTCTGGTTTGTCCCCTCTGAAAGTCATGTTGACATCTAATTCCTAGTGTGAGACATCAAGCAGTAGGACCAGATGGGATCTTTAAAAGGTGATTAGGGTTCTGTCCTCATGAATGAGTTAACCCATTCAGGTGATTAATGGATTAATGGGTTATCTTGATAGTGGGTCTGCTATAAAAAACAATTTGACTAAGTCTCTCATGTGCTTTCTTTCTCTTGCCATGTGATATCCTGTGCCATCTTGGTACTCTGCCAATAAGAATATCATCATCAGATGGGCCCAATCAACCTTGGACCAGAGCCATGAGCCAAAATAAACATCTTTTTTAAAAAAATATCTATTTAGTTGTAGATGAACACACAGTATCTTTATGTAATTTTTTAATGTGGTGCTGAGGATTGAACCCAGTCCCTCACACATGCGAGGC